GTGTGGGGGGGGGTGGAACATTAACTTTGCATCATTGGTGAAAATGCCAGAGGGTCTCGCAAGATTAAACACAGAATTATCAGTCCTTAAGAGCAGTTTACTCTCCTCACGTTGATATCAAAAATTAAAAGACTGAATATTCTGAATATTAACATAAAGAGATTTTTCAGAACAGAACAAGAAAATGCTATATCTGTATCAATAGAAGTAACAAATCATGCAGCTCCCAGCATTTCGATTTTGTTTAGATGCAGATTAAACTAACAGCGAGGAATTTTTGTGGATTACTTCAGTCTTTCTTTTGTCTGATGGGTGGCGTTCCACAGTCCGTTTCCAGGTGAAACTTTCCTTGGTAGAATTTAAGCCATTACCCCCATAAGGGGGAAGTGTGCTGTTATTTCATATTATTTTCTCTTTTGTAGATGGTTTTATATATAATTTCTTATCATTTTGATGTTTTCTGCAGTGAACAGATTTGTACGTGGGGGGTGTGCGTGTGCACATTTGCGCATACATTTCCCTTTGGACATCTTTTGTGACAGGGCAATTTTCCTTGTTACAACAAAGAACATGAGCTGAACTTAAAAGCAATTACTGCTTTCGTGCCTTCATCATTAGCTTAGCAGGAAATAGACCACAGAGTGTGTCAATTAGTGTGCTTTAAAGCAACTCCAAACCATTTCCGTGTGAAGCCCAGCTGCTCAGCTGTAAGCACACTGCACAGCATCCACTTTTGGAACATACAGCGTCAGGGGGTTTCCATTTGCCCATGGACCTCACACAGGTCCTGCATTAAGAGAGGTCACAGCGCTGCCACCTGAGTCAAGGGACAGTGACTGAGCTCGGTGACTGTCACTGTCACAGGTCCATGACTGAATACGAAGGGGGTGATTCATGAGCTCTCACAAGACCACGAAATATTAAGCTCCTTGAATTTATCAAGCAAATTGACCCCAGTCCCCGTCTGTTGCGCTGGCGTCCTTAGCACTGGCCCATGGGTCGTGTCAGCTGTCTCCACGTGTGCTGCAGCGTGTGGCAAAGGGACGCTGTGCCTTGAGTGCCGGCTGACGAGCGGGGCGGCTTGGCCTGGCGTGGCAGAGGGATGGAGCCACTGCCGCCAAACGCCTGCCCAGTTCTGCTGCACAGACATCTCAGCTGCCTGTCAACCAGCTCCTGACCTGTGCTGTTTGCATCATTAACGCTTCAGGATTCGTTTACTGATGTCAAATTGCTCTGAGGTGCTGTGCCTTGTGAGGCTGCAGCTCAAGAATTATTGGCAAGAAGTTCAGACGTCTTTGGAGCAGGACAGAGAGAAGCAATGGCAAGCGACAATTTTGGCACGTACTGGTCAGGCAGACCCTGCATGACCTCCGTTGGGTAATCTTCTCTTATTTGCATATACAGTCACTGGAAACTAGAGAATTTTCTAAAAATACTGCCTCCAGAGTAAGACTCACATATTACCACTGTGTCCTTGCAAAAGGCTTAGTAGGAAAAAACCAAGAACGTGAGTATAACCCTGTTTCAGGACTGGTGAGAACTTGCTGGTGGATGGAAGTCACACTTGGGCTTGCCCTGAGACTTCAGCACACACAGCGTTCCCCCGAGGCTTTCACTGAGCTCTGGTTTAACAGGGTTGGCTGTTCCTGTGGACCTCTGCTTTGTTCACTTGAAGGTCCTGTTACCGGACTCATCTATTTTAATAAATCTAACCGCTATCTTTAACAAACCGGGTGGATTTTCTGGGGGATAGTGCTACTGCTCGCTTTAAGCTATTTTTAGGCATCTGACTTAGGTGGTCTGAATTTCTCCTTTGCTGATAATAGGGAGAATTTAGGCTCCTCCCTGTGGTCCTCTGGACTACGTCTAAATTAGATGCTAAGAATAGCCTAAAGTAGACGGTGTGAGTTCTCTCCTTCCCAGCTTAAAGAAATCACTTCCACAAGTGTTCATTAGCTTTAAACCCATGGTGGCATCCCACCAAAAAATGTGGCTTCAGGGCGGTGAGATTGCCAGGTAGAAGATAAAACTCCTGTGACTCCTCTACTTGCTACACACGTTGGGAAGTACCAGGGCACCTCAGATACGTTCGTATCCTCTATGCGGCTTTCTTCTGGAAATCAGGAAAGTGACAAACACAATGACAAACAATCCCAGGATGCTCAGGCCCACCGCGATGGGAGCTGCTTTGCTGTTTTTATCAGGAAAGCATTCTTCTTCTGAAAGTAAAAGGAGATGAGAGAATGTGTTACAGCAAACACCGTACTCCTAGACTACACATCTATATTGTACAAAAGTTAGCAAATACAAGACAGAATTTATCAAAATCTTATTTTCTTTCTTTGTTTTCTGAACTACACTTAATACATTTTTATCTGTGGTGAATCTTAGCTCAAGAAAAGAGTGCTTGCCCCTTTGGAAATAGCTACATACTTCACTGGAGAGTGACTCTGCTCTCTCATGGCCACAGTAATTGCTTTACCACCAAGATCAGTACACACACAGCAAGAGGCTTTCTTTATGATAGCAGAAGTGGAGCATCACACTACAAAGTGCAAGACTGAAACTGAAGAGCAAAACACATTCTGCGTGGACAAAAACTGCTCCTATGTGGAGAGCATCTAATTGCTTCTGCCCAGTAAGAAGGATCAAGCCAGAAAAGGGAGCCCATAGTCCAGCACACCATTAGCGTAGCAAGGATCCCAGCTAGGGCAGTGTTTCCTAAGAAGAATCAAATTCTAATTGTCCTCTGTGTTTAATTCAGAGTATTTGTGGATAATTGTGGCTAACTCAGAACTTCAAGAGATCAGGATGGCAGAAGCTTGGATTTAGTCCAGGGGGTTGCTTTAGCAGTGCCGTTGTAATTTTATTCTAGATATGATGATATCAGAAAAGGTTTTGACACAAATAATATCTTTTAAGAACCATCCAAAGATATACTCACTCCAAACATACCTCTTAGCTGCAGAGGGGGCAAATCCTGACTGCCTCAGCCAGTCCCTATCCAAATGAATATTCAAGTTATCTTCTGATTAAATGAAAACTCATTACTTAAAAATGAACTTCCAGATTGGGGTAAACTGGCAAGTTTTCCTACGGAGAGACTGCACCATCTGGGTCACTGACACAAATGGAGTATTTTCCCAGGTAACAATGGCAGGATCAGTCTCAAAGTCACCATACAACAAGAGCAGCCCTGGGCATGAAGGCAAGGTCTGGGAGTGATCACTAATGTGTTACCCCAGAATTAGATCAGACGTACATCTTCCATCTGATCTGTGGGAATGGTCTTTCCTCAGGCTCCAGGGAAAGCAAGACCTCTAGCATGATGCTTTGAGGGGCACCTGAGTAGCAAACTATCCTCTAATTAGGGTAGCTTGATCAGCTAAACCCCAAAGTATATCACAACTCAGCAGTGAGTCCAGTTTACACCCAAAGTTTAAGAGATCCAACAGCCTCCACCTCTTTCACTCCCTGTGACTATTCCCAGGCAGATTTCGACAGCGCTCTAAGACAAAGGCCCTGTTGTTATTGTCCGATTCTGATGACTGTGCTGGCACAGATTGTAGCTTAGCTTGGGCTTTTCCCCAGCAGGAGTCTTTACACCAACAGCAGGCAGCTAGCCCAGGGAGCATGTGGCATGCATGACATCATGTCAAGCCTCCACGCAGCTGTCCCCAAAATCTGATCCTCATCTCCTCTGATCCAGATGGTGATCTCATGTGATGCAATGCCACAAAGCCAAAGGCATCAGCGTTCTGTTAGACGCTGCCTTTAAAAGCTCTGCCTGGTTAATGTCACCTGCTGCTAAGGCAGGGGGCTGGAAGGTATTTGCATTGGAGTATTGCTAAAGCCAGAGGTGTTCGAATTCTCTAGGAATTATTTCTGATATACTCAAGTGCAGTTCAGAAGATGCTTTTACAGCTTTCCAAACTCAAACAAGCCAAGCTACTGATGTAACGCTGCTGCACTCTGTACAGAATTGTAAGGAACTTGAAACCAGTGATCATTAGTGTTTTCTTTTTCTTCCCCTTTTAAAGGTAAATTTAAAGGCAAATAAAGAGCAACAGAAGTGAAACTACCAGTCTCGAGAAACCTGAGGAGAGGAGACTGGTGATGTGTACAGAGTCATTCTTTCACTGGGGATTTTGACTTTAAAAATCTGCATACCCAGCAGAGGTATTTAACAGCTTTATAACTATTTCATGGCCATGGGGGGATTATTTCAGAGGTGGTAGCTGCTTTCTCAGCCCTTTGATTAAAAGCAAAACTAAATTAATTTGATATTAGCAGAGATTAGCCTGACCTTGAAGAGAGAGAGAGAGAGAGTCTTTCTAAATTCTGTCTCTGCTAGAGGTGAGGCCATACCAAAAGCCATAACTGAACTCACTCGGTGTACAAATTCAAATGGAAATGTGGTGACCAGATGGGATCCCATGAGTTGTTCCAGCTCAGTTTTATCCTATGAAAAAATCTTCATGAGAATGGGAACCTAGATTGAATTCTCAGTGTGGCTTTTAAGAACTTAAAGTGTGAAAAAAAAAAAAAAAATCCACATCTTAAAAAAGCCTCAAATGTTGTTTCCCATTATATTCCTTTTAGAATAAGAAAGGCAGCCAAAATGATGAACTGACAAAAGAAGAATCAGTCAAAAAGAAACAAACTGAGACAAAAGATAGATCTAAAGTACTAAGAAGAATACAGGGGCAATATTTCATAAGCATGCAGAAAGTCAAATGTCAGAAGGGAATGTTTTATTAGTGCACGTGAAGGGCTGGAGAGCTGATAAGCCTATCTGTCCACCAGAGTTCTCGTATGGAAACACCCTGAGGGGAAGTCACAGAAACGTGAAGCTGTACAGTTTGAGATAAACCACAGGGTGCTATCTGATCCACCTCCCTGCTTTTTGTAGGATCTTTCATGCATCTCGTAAGAAGTAAGGCAGTGGACCATGAGAGTGTCCATACTGCACAATGCGGGAGTTTCCTGGTGCACGCAGCAGTCCTGGACCCCACAAGCCTGGCCAGGTCCTGGCTGCGTCGCTGGACAAGAAACAAGGATGCAGCATCTCATTTCCCGGTGGAAGGAATACCAGGAGTGGGGGTAGGGAAGAAGTTGTTAGGGAAGAAGTTGTGATGAGCCCCAATGCATTTTCCCAGTGTGGGCAATCCAGAGACCACGGGAGTCAGTAGTGGTCTGTCTCTGTCTTTTACTAAGCTACATGGTTGCCTCTTTGTCGCTGTACTCATGAAAACAAAAAATAGCAGAGATGAGCATGATATTTAATTCTGAAACTGGGAACATGCCAATCATGTTCCTCCTCAGGAGCACGTTTCATCATGTCTAGACACAGTTGCTCTGAAAGTACCATCCTGCATTCGCAAATATCCCTTATTAGTTGGCAGTTTTGCTGCTGCAGGTGTGGGACATCATGAGTGTCAAGAGCCTTTCAAAATAGCTAAAATCTGACTGTACTGAGAACAGCGACCTTGAGCTAAACTGTACGTATTGGGTTTGGGCAATGCAATGCTGGTGAACAAACCTCCACTTGCTCTGGGAGAAAACGGGTGAAGAATAAAGTGGTGGCTGTAGAGTTGAACATTTTTAATGAGAAGGGAGGGAAAGACACTTTTCCATTTTCCACAGGTATTAGCACTGTGTTGAAAATGACTCAGAAAAGGGTGAGAACATAGCAGCGGGCACATTACATTATTTGGGAACTATTAAAAGCTGTGATGGTGCTGTAGGTGTAACAGGATCACTGCATGTGTATGGTTATAATCCAGCAGATTGTATCTATCAGGCTACCAGAGCGCTGACGTGGAGATCTCGGAAGGGTGGAGAAGGTACACTTCTACTTACCTTCTCCAAACTGGTTACCAACAATGTCAAACGCCTGCAGCTGCACGTTAACAAAGAGTATCTGGAAGTTCTTCTCCAAGACGAAGGTTTGCTTGCTGGCACACTTAAAGGAATTCCCCAGCTTTGTTGTAAACAGCTTCTCACGTATGGCTCCATAGTAAAGCATACCTGGAGGTCATAAAGAGAGAGACAAATGAGAATCCACACTGACTCCATTGGAATTAACATCTTTTGGAGATAAAACGGAGGATCCCCGGTGCTTTGGGAGAGCAGCACTCACAGATGGGACTAAAGCATGGGCATTTTCCCCAGAATGTACCAGTTACATCTCTGCCCTGTGTCAATGACTGCTTTAATGACCAATGGGCAAGTCAGCTGAGCCTAGGGCTGAAAAAGTAGCTAAAATTTCAGAAGCTTCTTCAAATCATAGTTTAACAATCTGAGTCTGCAAGAGGGGGTGAGGATTCTCGCAGGAGCAGACAACTTGTTTCGGTCTCCAGCACAGCTATTTCCAGACAAAGCAGAGATACCATCTCCAGCATGGGAATTTGACATCTCTAGTCTGTATTGCTTTATGTATTAAATACGTTTTTAAACATATTTTAGTGTCATAGCACTTTACAGAAAACATGTCTGAAGTTCAAAACATTAAAAGATCTCTTAACCTGGGCACATCCTGGATGCGTATCCTCCTTTGAAAGCAGATATACCAGTTTAAGACAAAATCATCCACATCACCAACATCACTGTATCTCAACAACATCTGCCAGCACAACAGTGTACACCAGCGTGTACTGCTACAGTTCATTCAGTAATTTTTATCTTTGAAAAGATATAGGCTTGCTCACGGCAAAAAATACTGCTGGGGGGCTGAAATGGCAACATCTGGCAGCCGTCTGTCTTTGCAGATAAAAACTTTGAGGATTGTTTTGTATCTTAAATTTAGGTTTGAAGTAATCTCAGTTCTGTGAAAGGCAGGGCAAGTTTTTGAGGACAAAAGGAAAATTGAACAATTCTGATGGAACTGCAGCCTGGTCCCTTCTCTTCCATTTTCACATCTTAAGATTTAGGTGAATGACATGTTAAAAACATGAAAAAAAGACATAATTTGCAAAATCCAGTGTTTCAAAGATACAAAAGCTTATCCTACACCCAGAACAGTTTGATATTAAATTAAAACAATTTAAAATCACTGACCTTCAGAAGATAACTGTAATCTAGCCTCAACTTTTTTGGCATAGTATGTTGGAGCTTCCTGCAAAAGAAGATATATCTTTATTTGTAATACACCATCATATTTGTGAAAAAAAAAAAAAAAAAATCCAGTTCACCGCAGCAAAATGGTTACAAAGAATTTCCCAAAGACACACATTTTAAAGCATCACCTTCAAGACTCAAGAACCAACTAGCTTGGATGTATTGCTTTTCCTTTCCCAGATCACTCCATCTAATGGCCAAGAAGCTGGTGTAACACAGCAGTCTCAGCTACATCGCCAGTTCTGCTCAGCTCGCCGAAACTGTGCCACACAGCTGGGATTTTGCACACACAGCTCAAGCTAGACATTCGGTGATACTCGTGGCAACCAAAAGTAGGAGGGAGTTAAGCAAATATTATATATTGCACAAATTAACCGGCATGTGATAAGGCTGTTTTATTTTTATTCACCTGGTTCTGCTGACATGGAAAACACCCGGTACAACAGCACAGAGCAAAATTTCCAGCTAAGTGTCCTGCCTGCACCTCTCAAAACGATAACACTGTCCTCCCCTGGACTGTCACAAAGTGCGAGCCAGCCCTGCGAGCTTTTCCCTGGTATCAGTGTTGGAGTATAACCCGAGTCTTTATGCAGCAGCCCTGATATTCACTTTAATTCCAGCTGTGAGCACACAGGGGCTGGTGAGTGCAGCTCGTGCATAAATGGCAGCAGACATGAGTGTCTCCTGCACACCCGGTTTTAGTGTTACGCAGTTTAAAAGCTGGTAGGACGGTTTGGGAAAGTTTAAGAAATACACCAGAGAAGAGGTTCTCAGCATTATTCCTACTTAAAGACATAAATAGGTCAAATATAACCATTCTTTTGGTGGCAGCACTGTGTTCTGTTTGGCCACAGTCAATAACTTTGCTTGGGGAAAACACCTGCTCCTACTTCACATCTTGCGGGTCGGTTACAAAACTTCCTTTTTTCAAGTTCTTTGCAGAAGGCAGCTGGCAGCGGTGAGCCCCGAGCCAGCCGCTCACCCCCACCGCCCCACACCAGCCCCGCGGCCCCTGGGCCCCATCCAGCTCCTCTTTCACTGGTGCAAATCAGAAGTGCCATCGCCGGAGCACTCTTGGTTCAAAGCAGCTAGAGAGGCTGTAGGGGCCAAACACGTAACAACCAGCAGCAAAATGACTGCTTATTCACTTGAATTTCAAAGAAGTCTAAGCTGAGCCCTGCTGCGCTCTTGAGGCTTATCTTTAAGTGAAGGGAGGAGTGTCTAATGCTGTGCCAGTAACCACCTTTTTCAGGGTAAGACAGGTCAAGCACCTCCTAAAAGTCCACATCACTCTCCTCAGCACTGCTGCAAGTTGGGGCTTTCATGGGTACTTGAACCACCAGACTTTTTCCAAGGATCCTTGAAAACGCTCCCCTTGTTGCAGGAAGCCTACATTTAAAGCAAACACTCACGGTCTGAAATGAACCTTTATTTTTAAACAGCTCCTTCATTTTTTTTACCTCACTTTTCCTCTTTCTGGCGTAAGCTAAAATGAAGATGATTGTTAATGGAACCTTTTCTCTGCTCACGCATTAATCTCAGGTGTGGTGTAACTTGCTGTCGCCCCTTGGACTTGCTATGGAAATGACTGGCTAACCATTAGTACTTTTCTTCATTGTCAGGAATTAGAGCTTGGAACCAGGCTGTAAGACTGACATTTTGGCTTGATTGACAGAAGGACATGGACCAGCCAGAGATGGCCAGATGCCGCTCTGAACTGCTACGGAGCTCCAGGACACAGCCTCCATGCATCCTACACTCAGAGTTTGATGGGATCCAGCTTCCTCCCTGCCCATTAATGACTTCATATAAACTATAAACAGTATTTAACAGTATTTAACGTCTGTCTTTAGCCCTGCTGGCATCACCACCCAGCCCTTATTAGCTTTCAGATAAATAGTGCTGCGAGCTGCATCCCAAAATGAATAAACTATCTAAATGTTGGAGGAAGCAAGAGGATGGCTGCACTCGGCAATTTTTTCTGATGGTTCTAATAGCAGCAAGCACTCCTGGTAGCTTATGCTAAAGCCTCGCCCACAGATGATGAGGTCCCAGTAGGGAACGGTATCAATAGCCACAAGGTCAAAACTAAAGCTCATTTTCCCACCATGTAAGCAGGGCCACTCTCTTGCCCAAGTTTCTGTGTGTACTTATAAGCCTCCCTGGTGTGGTGCATTTTAAGGGCACTTATCTACAATTTTGTTGCTGTAGTTCACTTGTTTGGAATTTTCCACTCAGAAATTTGATGAAATTAGGCTCCTCCAGCTGTGGATGGGCTGTGGCTCCTGGGCCCTGCACAGGCTGCCCTGTGGACTGAACAACCACAGCTGGCTCTTGGCTGGGCAGTTGTGACACCTGGCACTTATGGGAAGGAAGTGACTAACCTCACCTGCATCCGGGTGGTCGCTGGGCCACCATTTCCTAAGAGCAACTTGACAGTGTGAGTCACTGGCATGCACACCTTGTTCCTGCGCAGGGACGCCAGTCCCAAACCCATTCCCTCTGTCCCGCTCCAGTGCAAACAGCAGACCCAGACCCTTTTACCTTCCATGGTTCTAGGATTCTAGCCTCTTGGGAAGGGCAGGAGTGATAACGCCGTATGTACAGGTGGAAAACTAGCACAGATGGATGAAACGCCTTTTGCCACAGCACAACCTGGATCAAAGGCAGCCTGAGTTCCAGCTCCCCGATCCCGAACACACCTTCCCTCTAATGCAACAATTACCTTTACAAAGATGAAGTTTATGAACCCTCCACTGAAAGTTATGTTCAGCTCAGCCTGCGCCGTCCTGCAGCTGCCGGCCGTCTGTGTGGCGTTGGGGTTGACGGCCGTGTACTCCATCTGCTGCTGCGGAGAGAAGAGACATTGCAGGGCTGCTGAGGAGGAGGAGAAGGAAACTTAAGAAACACACTGAGATTTCTAGATGCTTTTTTTTTTTCCCAGACAAGCTCTGTGTGGCTGAATGAACAGGCTGGTGGTGGCGGCAGCCTGATTGCTGGCTACCGGGGTCATTCTCCGCTTGTAAACCAACACCAGGCGTGTCTGACACAGCACCAAGCTGTTCCAGAGCATTAAGCTGGCAGAAAAGTAATTGTTTTCTGCTCATCTGGTGAACTGATATGATTCAGAGCAAGGTCAGATGAGCACCAGCAACAGTTTAAGAAGAGGAAGCAGTGGGACGTTGTGCCTGAAGGCAGAGGAAGGATGAAGAGAGAAGCAGGCAGTGGTCCGACTGGCTTCGACGTGTGCTGCTCCTTGTGTCACCCCGGCCGCCTCATTGTGTCCTGCCCAGTTATCTCTGCCTGCCTGCCCACACTGTAGTCTGAAGGGAGAGCCCTGCAGCCCTCAACACAGTTTGGCTCCGTCAGTGTCAGCTCATCCACACCTTACTTCTGTAACAGACATCTCACTGGGGTCTGGGGAGGTTGGGGATGATGCTCCCTGCCTCGCTTCCAACAGGACGAGGGAAACTACTTTCACCAACATTAGATACTCATCCCATGTTGGAAACATTCAGACCCAAGGCAAAAAGATTTGGATTTATGATGGGGATGGGTTCAGGCATATGAACTCCAGAGCTTGAGGATGTAACCCCATGCATTGTATTAATGGAGGTTACAAAACTGTACTTCTGAGGGACATAATCCCCATTTCAGGTTTTATGATATCTTTTGCTCAATCATTCACAATGGATCACTGCTAGCAGCTCCCCAGGACCCCTGCTGTGATCCAGCCTGGCAGTTCCTGTGATCCTATAATCTCCATGCATCAGCATCGAGAACACCCACCTCGGCATTCAAGCCTGTGAATAGCCAATTTCTTGCTTTCATTGCAACTTGCAATGTCAAGCCCTTCACTGAAGTCAATTTGGATTTTAACCAGTCCCATTCTGGGAAACACAAATAACACTGAAGCCTGACCTACCCTCCCAAGTATTGCTACCAGAGATACATCGCTGAAATAAGAAAGCACCCGTACGTCCCACTGGCATCGTCGTACAAGCCAAAGTACAGCAGCTGAGATGCTGTGGCACAGAAAAAGCCTTGGACTGGGAACAAACCACTTCTTTTGATCACATAAGCTAACTGCAGAGAACTGCTTTGCAAGAAGAAGAATGAATTCCAGCTAATGAAGAAAGAATCATTATAAAGCTCAGCCTCATAGTGCTTCCACCTCACCTTCTGTGTGTTTAGAGCCATCAGTTGCAGCCCCATGACTGCTTTGAGGCAGGTCACGTTCCCTTTGGAAACGGTGTATGTCCCGGTGGGGATGGGGGCTGGCCGCGGTGCAGCGGTGGGTCTCACTGTTGTTGTAGTGGGTGGGATGGTTGTTTGAGTCCCTGGATGAACCGTTGTTGTGTTGGTCACAGCTGTGGCTGTTGGACTTTTAGGTGCTGTTGTCTGATTTCCTGACCCTGTGGTGGGCTTCACAGTTTCCATGCTGGTGGCCATGGTAGTCAGAGCAGCAGCTGTCGTTTGCGTCTTTGGGGCTGTTGGCTGTGTGGTTGTGTTTGTGGCTGCTGCTGTCGTTTCTGTGCTCGCATTTGTGCTGGCTTGCTTGGCTGAGGACGCAGGGTGTGCGGTTGTGTTCTCCACTGCAGAGGTAACCGTTTCCATGGCCTGGGTTGTAGCCTGGCCAGCTGCAGTTGCGTTGTCTGCTGCTGTTGTGGGTGCCACCGTGGGAGATGTCTGGACAGTGACTTGCTCGGTGGTTGCTCCTGCCTGGGCTGTTGTGTGATGGCCTGGCGCTGTTGTCACCTGGTGCTGCTCTGTTGTTCTATGGCTTATGGGAGTTGTTTTAAGAGAGCCTGTGCTGTTAAAATGAACTGTGGTGCCTTGGTGGGGTGAAGAATGATAAAGGGAAAGTGGCTGAGCAGAAGGAGCCGTATGGTGGAAGGATGTGGTTTCTGGAGACAGTTTGATCCCCTGGACCACTTCAGCAAAGCAGGAAGAAAATGCTGCAAAGAAACAAATAAGTCAGTAGTCTAGAAACCTTTACATTTAACATTTCTGATGATACCCACAACATGATAACTACCCTGATTTTGTTATCAAATGGGTGATGGGATTTTATTCTTCATTTGGCTCCAGTCATGACAGGAGAGTGAAGGCAGACATGCCGTAGGACTAGCCATAACTTTTCACCACTCCCTCAGTCTTCACACCTCTGAATATACCCACTGCAGTGGAGGCACATTGGCTCCTGGCTCCCAGCGCACTGGTTTTAGTGCTGAAGAGGCCAGAGGATGACAGGGGTGTGAGTAGACCCTGCACAAGCCCCAGGCAGCACAAGAATTCCCTTGCAGGCAGTAGTACAGCAAGATTTGCTAGAGGAAAATTATCAAGATCTAAGGAAGATGCAGCGGATGCCTGGGTGTTACAGAGGAAGGGGTGCCTGGTTACTTACCAACAAAGCACAGGGAAGGGGAACATTTTGTGTGTGTGAAGGAAGTGGGGCAGTATAATGGTTTTATAGTGATTCAGAATAGTCTGGGAAACTGCTCTGGGAGACAGGGAAACTCCAGAGATTTATTTATGGTTTTGTTGTAACTACACCAGCTTGAACCCTCGAGTTCTTCCTCCTCGGAGGAACCCAAAGAGATGCTCCAAGCAAGGAAAGACCAACCCTCTTAGTGATGCTCTTTCAGCAATGAGAAACAAATTTCAGGGTACGGCATCCAGGGGCTTTTGGACCACATCTGAAAATAGTCAAGCACTGCAATTATGCTTCCGTCTTATAACATTTACAGAAACACATCCCTTGCAGAACTGAAAAGAAAATATCTGCCTCCTGTATGTAAATAACAAAATGAAGAAAAGTGTAAATAATGAAGTGAAGAAAAAGTGGAAGAAGGACCTTGCAGAATAGACGAAGGTCACAAATCTTCTGCCGCAAGTCTTTGATTGTGAGTATGCAAGACTCTGTAAAGACAAGGTCAAGCTAAAAGAAACCATAAATCAATGAAATAGATCAACTCCTTGATGGGCATAAAGCTTTGGGCACAGTTAAATGCTTTAATACATAAGTTAGCTGGAGGACAGAGATCAATGCTCCAGTTTGGAGACAAAAGGGACCCAGAAGTCCAAGACAGCTCACATTCCAAGCAGTACAGCTCCACACAGGATGCTGCAACGCGTTGTCTGAGAAGTTTATCATACACTGTTTTTTCCAAATAAATTTCTCATTAATCCACATCAAAACCTTGTGGCAGGCAGGTTGCTGGGATTTGGATTTTAGGATGAGTGAAGGTCAGAGACACATTCAGAGTGGAAATGGGTGAAATCTCATAAGCTCATCTTCCTTTCATTTATTTATTTTCACTCAGCATAAACAGAGATCTGCAACAATAGCTGAGTTCCAAAAATCTCACCATTTTAGGCTACATATAGACTATATCAGAATAATAAAACCTACTGGGTTTGGATCAAATTCAAGGTCAAAACCAAAGAAATTAAATCAGATGTGTAGATCTGAACCCACACATCAATTTTCCCTTAAAATGGCTATGCTGGAGAAAAGCAGAAGTCTAGACGTACACTCCATATTCCTAAAATTCCCTGGGTTTCACCTCTGTGCTGTACAGAATATACTGACTGCCAGTGTAGCTGCTGTAATTAAAGAAGTGCAACTTGATACAGTTAAAAAGCCTCAGAAATGCCAGGACACATCCCTCTGATTGTAAATTTTATCAGAAGGAACCTTAAAATGCCATAATTAACGTGATACTTTTGTTCATTTTCTCACTTTCCCCTAGACTTTACCACACGTGCTGGCAGAGCTGAAGAGCAGATAACTGATCTCCTCTGTGTGCTCCTGCCAACAGGGCCAGTGGAAAATCAGAGCAGATATGGGTAGTTACAGCGTGACAAAAACAAAAAGGAAGAAGTTGCAATTTTCACTCATTTTTCCTCTATAAGAGTGCAACGCCCATATTTAAACTTACGCAAGTCTTAAATAGTCAGTACTTCTCCGTTTTCAGTTAACAGATTGGTTTCGATTACTGGCCAGATAAGACATGGAGAGAAACATTTCACTGACATTTGGGTGCCAGCCATAGCTTTTAAATGAAACTTCATTTTCCCCAAAAGGGGATTTCAACCTATTTTTCACTAGAGAAGGGTTCAGCCTGACAGGGTCACTGCGGGGTAAAGTCAGAGATGTCTTTGGGGTGGCCCATGGCTCGTGCTCGCCAGGTGACCTGCCAGACTGCTCCTCCAGCCTCCCACGGCTCTGCCCAGCATTTTGGAGTCTCTCTTGGGGCACAGCCATGCTGCTAAACCTGTTGGTTTGGGTCATCTTCTCAAAAGGCATGTGGCCAGGAGCTCCCAGGGATGGGAGCAGCTCTGCCTCCTCCTGTTAGTCTCTGTTTCTTCTTTCTATGAGGCCATCTCAAAACTTTATACAAGAAACACTTTTCTCGAGGGATGCGTGCTCCCTGTGGTGCATCTTCCTGAAGCAAGCAGCTGCAATCCCCTTGTCTCACCCTGGCCTCAAAAAGATCAGGGCAGCTCTCTGAAATTCCCTGTCCCCAGTCTGGACCTGGAGCCCCTGTTTTCACGCCTTGGTGACTGGGGAGGCTCAGTCAATGCCAACAAAGGAGCATCACTGCTTTGCTCCCAGGCGGTACGGTGGGAGGAGGACTGCTCAGTGCCGTGATCTGGCTGTGACATTTCGCAGCCTGCCGTCCTGTAAGGGGGTGGGTGAAAAAAAACCCTCTTGCTGGGGATTTTTTTTCTTCCTCTTCTCGTCTAACCACACACTCATGCTGCTCAGCCACCCAGCAGATTTGTTCCACTTTACGCTGCCCAGAAGAAATGCCTGTGTTTAATTGACTGTTTTTATCTGGACAGAAAAACCCGACCCAGCTCCTACAATCATTGAAAACACCCTCGCTGGCTCCAGCTGCTTTGGTTCAAGTCCTTGAAGAACTGGAAAAGCACCAAGATTTTCTGAGAGGTTTCAGTACTGTCATAGTTCCCCTCCCAACATAGGAACAGTTTCTTGAACCTCCAACCTATCAGACCTTTGATCCCTTAAACTCCAATTATGTTTAATTCCCTATTTGCACAGAAAGACTTGACTTCGTGGCATTAATAAAACATCACAACAAATTTCTAAAGGAAAAATGGATAAAGAGCTGAGGAAACAAATTCTTCCTGGCCAAAAACATCCTTGCTGCCCACTGAGTGATTGGTGTGATTTCTCTCAGTCTGATCTTGTTCTCCTTTCGTGTACACATTTTGGGGCTACTTCAGCAGACTCTGGCTGGGAAGCGGGTGTGGGAAAGCAAAGCAGATTGGGCAGGACTGGGGTCCCTGGGCTGTTTCCCTGCTCACTGCGCTGCTGCAGCAGAGCTGGGAGGGAGATGGGGGTTGTTACCTGCATGACCCCTGTGTGCTGGTGGCAAAACACACGGCAGAAATCCTGCACCCCACCTGCGAGCAAAAACCTCCAGCCATTACACAGCTTAAATCACGCTCCATCCTTCTTCACCTGGCAGATTTTGTACTGTTTTGGGTTTGAGGGATGACTTCACGTGCTGGGACATGGCCTCGGCCAGGCTGACTCCCCAGATTTTCCCAAAGCAGCATTAAGGATTGAACGGTGACTTCGATGTGGTCCCCAAGCCCCCCGCCTCACTCTTGCTTTCCTGACCATGCTCTGCATCTCGCAATGCAGACAAATGACTCAAACAACACTTGGTTTTTCTTCTGCTTGTCTCACTCAAGACCTTCAGTCAGTTCTCCTGGTCTGGGAATTACTTTTAATTCAGAAAAGCAAGCCCAAAAAAGCTGCTTCTGGTACTATTTTGAGCTGACTCCATCACACAGTCAGAGTTTATGTCACCACAGAGTGCAAGGAAAAATACACAGGAAAACATCAGACCAAGTCTATACCAGCTGCAATTAAAGGTACTTACAGTTATTTCTTAGAAACAGGACTTTATTAAAAGCACCGTTACTGCTAGCAATGAAACTATTTCAAGTTTTCAGCCTGTTAGGTACCATTCTGACTGCAAGGAAACAAAGCCAGCATAGTCTACGTTATTCTTCTGATAGAAATGATGGAGGATGTTACTCACCACAGGCAAAGGTCAGCAAGACGAGCTGCCGTGCGCTCCTCCCCATGGCCAGCACAGCTGCGGGTTTGAGAGATGCTGCTTCTCACCGGGGAGCAGGTGGAGAGGAAATCAGAGTTTCCTGGGGACTGAAAAAGTTTCAGAGAGTGCTCAGTCACATGGCTGGAGAGGAGGTGGAGAGAGAGGGGAGACCGATGCTTCACGTCTGTAAACTACCACAGAAGGAAATAAATGATGGTTAGGAAAGAAAGTGAAAACAGAAAGGACTGCGGGGAGGATAGGTCTCACTCTGCAGCCGAGACCCAGCGCTCTGCAAGGCCACGGAAAGCTCCCTGGCTCCTCTCCCCAGTCTGATAACCTGGGGCAGACCGCAGCTGCGCCCCAGTGTGCCACAGCAAATAACAACGACTCACCTGCGTCCGGTGAAGTGCCTCCTGCAAACCCCGCTGAGCTGGGACAGGGGCTGCACAGGCAGGTCCCAGCACGCGTGGCCACGCGCCAGAGACCCGCAACAGGAGAGCGTTCCGCCTGCTCGCGTGTGCGGCTGGATTTCCAGCCCTGCGCCTTTGCCACGGGGTCTGCTTCGTGGGGGGGGAACAAAGCAAGCCCCCCACCTGGGATCTGGTGTGGTCCTGGTTCTTCTCACACCAATATTGCAGTAACATGATAAGGCCAATGCCTTGAGAACTGAAGCGAGGTGAAGTTTGCCACCAGAAATCTGGATACTGGCTGAAATTACTTCCCTTTTATTTTTTTCTCTATATTTGTGTTGTGTTTCTACATTCTCATTTTTACCTCCTTGCCATTCTAAATGCTCCACAAGTTCTGGGTCATTTACCACTCCCTAACAAACCATTGGCAGCCAAAGGTATGCAGATATCTTGGGGGTACCTATAATAAAGTTATCCTACATCTTTCTTGCCTTATGGCTGCAGCGTTTGCATATGCAACTCTGAACTGGGTGAATCTTTGCACTCTCCTAAGACTCCCAGGGATCCAGGAACACGACTAAGGGAGATGAGTAAAAGAAAAAAAAACACTTTGTGCCTTCTGTGACACGTGTTGGACAAATGAAGTTATATTGGACAGATACGTGGATTTTTTTTTTCAGCTGTGCTGATGTGCCTTTACTGATACCCATTTATTTTCAGTAGAAAGAAAGCTCATTTGACTTGTTACTTCATATAGAGACATCAATCACAATGTTTTGTACTAGTTATAATTTTTATAAATTTCAAACAAAGTGTGGTTCTACACAGGTCAGAATGGCCTAATTACAGAAAGTCATTTGCACACCTTTTTCCTTGTAATAAATTCATACATTCTGTCTTGACTGGAAAAAAAGGACAGGTAATTCTGTGCTCTTTCCTTTGATTATCTTTCATCAGTCACAATATACAAATACATCATTATCAACACCATGGAAAATATGTAAGAAAAACAAACTGTACCAATTCTCAGCTGGGGAGAGGAAATCTTAGCAGCTATTTCAGCTCCAGCTGCAAGAAGAAATACACAGTTTGGCTCTTTTTTCTTCTTAATTCTGATATATTTCTAATCATATATATATTTGAAGTCAGGCTTTGAGTATTTTTGGAAAGGAAGCCTTTCTCATACCCAATCCTGTTTGAAATCTCAGAGTCTACGAAAATCATGGATAATAAAATGGCTTGTCATCACATACACAACCAGGATACAAGACACACGCACAGCTTGGTTGTCTCTGGCAAGAAAAGCCAGTGTTCCGACATGGCTTGGCTGCAGCCGTTTATGATCAAGACACCGACCATTGGTCTGATTCTCTACCCAGTGGGGTCAGACTGTGAGAGGAGGAGAGGATCAGCGTGATTACTTTGTGGTCTGGTTTACTAAAAGCAAGACTTGCCTATCATGGCAACTGCCGGTGGATCTGTTCGTCATTGCTGCCAGTAAGGAAGGAGTCTGTTGCCCAAGTACAGCTGATGGAGCAGAGGGTGGTTTCGAGGGTGTGAACTTTCTGCAAGTTTCTCAGCAGCTGGCAGCAGAGCAGAGGGAGGAGATCCAAGTCAAAAACCTCAGCCCAGAGGGCAGGTCTTGCTAGTCTGGACGCAGAGGGAAAAGCCCGGCAGCTGGCACGGACTCGCTGGTCGAACTGCAAGGGCACAACGCTCAACCACAAGCGCTGCTACAGTATGGATCTACTTTGGACCTGTCTCTTCTACAACTGAAACTTAGTGGCAGCCGTTACTTTTAAATGACTTTGTGGTCACTATATCATCTCCAAGCAACACTGAAGTGAAATCCATATTTGAAAATTATGATTTTTAGGTCCATCTGCCTGAAATGATGGTGTCAAAAACCTGCATACAGAATGCATATACCTTAATGTACACATTAGTCTTGTGGGACATAACCAAATCATATTCTAGACTCTACATGGAGAGTCATTCCCTTAATTATCACCTTGCTTTACAGAGGCACACTAATTAAAAGACTATCCTGTCTACTATTAAAAAAAAAAAAAGTAATCAAACCCCATTTTGTCTTGTCATCAAAGCCAGACAGTTACTTCTTGTTGGCTGCTCTCAGCCATGTCAGCAGCCTGATCTGTCACTGAACTTCATTCTTTACAAAAGCAAAGCCAGCAGCGTGGCACGGCCCCACCTCCATTGCACCGCAGGCAGCAGCCAAGCCAACGGCCCCGGTTACTCCCCGGCAGCAGCTGCAATGGTTGTGGTATGGGCTGAGTCTGGAATG